AGCTCAGAAGAATGAAAGATCACTTTACGGGGGAATCTGTTAAGAACTCATAAAAGAAATTTCACATCAACCTTGAAGATGGCTAGAATGAAGGTAGGCAGAGACCGAGAGAGGATACAACAGTTAGGGATAATACGACAGATCAGAACATATGGCAGTGCAGAGGGAACCTGCAGAGAAGGGTCCCACATAACAGAACAGGCCTCTTGAAATAAGGCAGACCTCAGAGACTAAAAGAATATAGCAAACTCAAATTTTCAGTATGGCATTGGAAGCCTTTTACCTACCTTCCTCTTCCCAACACAGAGGTTCCACTTGTCCCTTTTTACCTTCTTCCCCATGCCATGAAGAAATTGAGCCACTCAAAAAGATTTAAGCATTCCCATTCCCATATTTGCACTTAAAGCCTTTATGATGCCCACACCTCCTGTCAGTGCACCTGTATTTTGAGTCCATAAACTCAAGTAAAACTCATGAGCTTTACTTCCATCAATGAAAACTTTAAGCACAGTCCCATTGGATCTCTCAGTTGTATGTTTTAGAGACATATACTCTCAGGCAGTGGGCAATATATAAATATTATTGGCAAAGTCCCTTAGTGTCTGCTTCTCCTTCCTACCTAAAGTTCCTGGAAGAAAGCACTGAGTCACTGCATTTCTTGGGTTCACCTCCATTACTCCCATCATGCACTGAACATGGTAGGTACTTCCCCAGTGCTATCTGTACTACTACCTAGTTTTAAGAGGAGGACAAAGTTTGGTAAGAAAAAAAAAAAAAAATTACCTCCCCTCTTTAATTTGTTTCTCCTAAGTAGAACTCCTGAGAGAAAACTTAGGGCCCTCACCTTTGGCCCCATATGCGTCTTCAGAGGCATCCAGTAAAATGCCAGCTGTATGCTGTGTGCCCACAGAAACAACAGAGTTAATTCTCTCCTTTTGAAATTATGACTCCCACCCTCCTCCCCTTCCTCTAAATGTTTCCTTTTAAAGAAAGCCATGGTTCACTGCTACTGAAAATTAAAGACAACAGCATAAAGATCAAGGTCCAAGCTGGTGCCAGCAATGACAGAACATTAAAATCACCACTCAAATTTCTCTTTCCTTGAACACTGCCAAAGACTACTAATGGAAAGCCAATCCCCAGAACACCTGCTCATTTCAGATGTTCTTCACTTGCTCCTCTTGGTTCACGAACTATTTTGACTACAAGAAACAAATTGGAGGTGATCTCCAGTTGAGATGAAATGGGAAAGATATATCCCTTAAAAACTGTATGTGATTACCCCCCACCTGCTCCTCACCACCCCCCATCACAGCATGAAGTACCAAGAAAAAGCGGAGGGCTTATCATGCAAAGGTTAATTTTTAAGGCTTAGAAGAGGAGAAATTAATCACCTTTTCCTCCTCCAAGCTATACTCTGCCCTTTCCAGCTGTCTCAAGCTTGTTCTTCTACCTCCTCTTAATTCCAGAGTGTGTTTTGGCAGTCAGAGTGGACCCCAGAGTTCCTTCCATTTTCTGAAACGATATTTTCAAGATTTTCATCCTTTCTGACTTCAGTTCCCAATCACACGTTGGCGTGATGGCTTGGGGGTGGTTTTCTGGATGTCTGACTACTGTACTCTGGTGGCTCAGCAAGACAGGGATAAGCTCATTCCCCATAAGAAAGTGGAAAATGTTAAGGTTGTTTTTGGAGCATGTAAAGTATCTCTGATCTGCAATCAACACTGAAGGAGACAACATTTTGCCAGCAGAAACCTGTGGTTCGCCCAGAAGAAGAGACTGACCAAGTACATGCAACAGCCACATTATACCCTGAATGAGATGTTCTCACAAGACAGGTAAGGAGAGAGAAAAGATCAAACACAGGGAAAGAGAGAACTTCAGGGGATTTCTTTTCATTTTTACTTGTTAGTGTGTTGGACCCTGAGAAGCATGAAATTAAAACTCACAAAAAACAGCCTATATCAACTTGCTGTGGTGACTCAAAAGTTGTCGTTTCTCAACTCAACTTTGCTGAAACACTTGATTCATGTTGTTCTTATTTAATCTAATTTGCATTGATTTAATCAGTGCTGGTATGCTTTAAATACATAATAAATTGGGATTCTGCAACTTAGATGACTTAGAATAGCTAAATTTCAATAAAGCTCATTTCAATCTGTTAATGTATACAGTTCTGCCAAAGGGTTTAAAGGCGTAGAAAAGATGCAAACTTGCCACATTAGAGGTGGGAAAGGTTTAAAGATACCATCCAGATGAAATGATTTGCAGGATAATAATGTGAAAAGAAATATATATATATATATATATATATATATATATATATATATATATATCTTAATTACAACCTAGACACATCTTCTACATTTTGAGTAGCATACTTAGAAGAAAACTCACATATAAATGCAGTGAATTTAATTTTATTCTCTTTCCTCCTTGCCAACACTCAATTCTCTTCTGCCTCTCTGTACCAGATCTACAAATCAAGTGACATCCAAAGTGGGACCTCTTCTTGCCCATTTGGCAGGCTCCATCATCACTTTGCCAAGCCGTCTGCATTAGGAGGATTTTCTTCCTAGCAGCCCTGGGGATTGGGTGGTTTAGACTCACAGTGCTTGCTGAATGGTTGGCCAATGTTTACTCCTGCCTGCCCCCGCCTCCCCCACCACCCTTTAGAGTTTATGGCTCAATCAGCCAGCCTGCTGTCAGGAATAATTGTGTTGGCAAAAAGGTGAAAACACTTGATGGTGAAATTGTTTGTCTGCTCAAGTGTTCCGCAGCACCTTGCAGGTGCCAGGATGAAAACTGCCGGTGCCCAGTCCAGAGTCAGGTAAGAGGCTAGAGTGACAAAGATGCAACCATCAAGAATGGCAAGGTAGGAACACCACTTAGGTGTGGGACAGCAAAAAATCCATCTGTGGGGTAGAGAGCTGTAAGACCTTGAGTAACAGCCTGATATCTCTGTGTCTCAGTCTCATCATGTGCAAAATTAAGGGGTTTGATTTTCTTTTCTTTTCCTTTTGTTCAAAGATTTTATTCATTTGACAGAGATCACAAGTAGGCAGAGAGAGAGGGGAGAAGCAGGCTCCCCACTGAGCAGAAAGCCCAATGTGGGGCTCTATCCCAGGACCCTGAGATCATGACCTGAGCCAAAGGCAGAGGCTTAACCCACTGAACCACCCAGAGACCCCAAGGAGCCTGATTTTCTAAAATCTCTTCTAAGTCCTAAGATGACATGTGATGTCCAGGACATCTTGGATTTGTTTTCCTTCCAATTAAATAACACATATTGGAGATAAATAACCAGGGCAGAGGTTGGATGAATAAAAAATGTAATGATTCATGCCCTGTTCATAGGACTTTTCCTGAAAAGTACCACCAGTCTTTGATGACTTTGACTCCACTGGCTGGTGCCTTCAGCTTGGATGCTAAGTAAGAACCAATGCAGTCACTTGTCCAAAGTCAATCCAGCCTGGGAGCTTTGGTAACCTACCACCTTCTTACCAAAGTCAGTACCACTATAGTTAATGCCCACTTACTTTCAATCCCTGAGAAGCAGAGATGATGGGAATTCAAAGAGAGGAGCTGGAGATGCACATTTGATTCCCCCATCACATCCTTGGTTATCTCTGTCAAGACGCTAGGCTTACCCACACTCACTTCCAGAAGGGTTTCCCTCTGCCATCTCTGAGGATTTTTTTTTTTTTTTTCAACAAATGATCAACAGGTTCCTGACAATAGCCATACAGATCCTCTCCAAGCCTTTTGGTTGGAACAAGAGGGCGAGCGAGCTCATTATAAGAACCCCACCTACAGATGATTCTGAATGGAAATAATCAGGCAAAGAATTCTCTTCATACTTAGAAGGCACAATTTAGCAACAGTCTCTAAGTTTAATTAGGGTTATGTGTATGGGGGGGGGTAGGCTTCATTATGGTTTAAACTACTCATTCTCTGCTTATTCTCTAGCATTTTCTCCTAGAGGGTACCCCAGGGTGCTGTAATCACTATGTGCAGCATGTTGGGGTCAGCTCTCCTGGGTGTCATACAGCAGAATCTTTCTTTAATCCACCTGGGACCTTACAGACATCTAAGGGGAATGATTAAGTCCCTGAAGGCTCTCAGGCAGGACTCGCTGTACACAGACATACAGTTCTGCCACACTGGGTCTCATACCACCAAACCGGGATGCTTTCCAAACCCACTGGATTTAGAAACCATTTCCCCATCTACCACTAAAAAGGGCTGGTTGACTGCAGAACTCCAGTGCCTGTAAGGAAAGGGGAAAAGGAAAAAAAAAAAAAAATCTTAGCCAAGCCCCCACAATCACTGCTTTACTCTATCTTCTCTCAAGTTGCTTTTCTAAAGCAAAGGACCAAATGTTGATTTCTCTACAGATTCCTACGTGTCTCTTACACGTAGACAGCTTTAAAGGGGGAAGGGGGAAACATCCCCAAAAGGAAAGGGGGAGAGAAGAGAATCTTTCAGTTTCCTGCTTGGAAATATCTTGTCGTTGATGATGCTAGCCCACATCTACATCCCCTCTCCCCCTTTTTTTGAAATATGGACAAAAAAGCTGAATGTGTTTTCCGTTTCATCAAAGAACATATATTACTTTGGTGGCTCGGTAAAATGTTGGTTTTATGCCCACCCCTTTTCAATCTGCCCATGTCTGAGGTGCTCCGGGAAGACGCACAATCGTGAGCAGCTTACGACACTCAGTGAGCAGTAGGTGCCTGTGCAAGCTCGCGCCGCACACAGCCTGGCGGAGGGAAGGAGCCCGGGCGCCGCTCCCCGCTCCCCGCGCCGCCGCCCGCGCCGCCCGCCGCCCGAAAAGCATGAGCGAGCGGGCTCTCCGCAGCCGCCCCGGGCGCGAATGGCAGGCGGTCTCCGCGGAGTAAAAGGTGGCGCCGGTCAGTGGTCCTTTCCAATGACGGACATTAACCAGACTGTCAAATCCAGGGGAGTCGTGAGCCCCGAGTTTGGAGTTTTTTGTTTTTTTTTTCCCCCCACAACGTCACAGTCCGAACTGCAGAGGGAAAGGACAGCGGCAGGAAGGCGAAGCCCGGCGCCGGCACGTAGTTGGGAAACTTGCGGGTCCTAGAAGTCGCCTCCCCGCCTCGCCAGCCGCCCTTGCAGCCCAGAGCCGAGCAGCAAAGTGAGACATTGTGCGCCTGCCAGATCCGCCGGCCGCGGACCGGGGCTGCCTCGGAAACACAGAGGGGTCTTCTCTCGCCCTGCATATAATTAGCCTGCACACAAAGGGAGCAGCTGAATGGAGGTTGTCACTCTCTGGAAAAGGGTGGGTAAGACACTTTTTAATTAAATTCTTTCCCGAAGATTTTTTTTTCCTCCCTTTTCTTTGCTGCAGCATCTAACATGGACCAAATCACCATCTCTTTGATCTTTCCGTGGCTGTGAACTTTCTATGCTGCCCAGCTTTCTGCATGCTTAGAGGTGAACGTGTGGCTTTGGGGAGGGGGGGTCCTTCTTTATTTCAATATATTTATTTGATTTTGCCCTTTTCTCCCCCTCCCCCGCTCCCCCTCCCTTGGAATAAAATATGATGTAGATTTCTGACCGAGCGCTTCCAATGGACATTCTCCAGCCTCTCTGGAAAGATTCTCGCTAATGGATTTCCTGCTGCTCGGTCTCTGTCTATACTGGCTGCTGAGGAGGCCCTCGGGGGTGGTCTTGTGTCTGCTGGGGGCCTGCTTTCAGATGCTGCCCGCCGCCCCCAGCGGGTGCCCGCAGCTGTGCCGGTGCGAGGGGCGGCTGCTGTACTGCGAGGCGCTCAACCTCACCGAGGCGCCCCACAACCTGTCCGGCCTGCTGGGCTTGTCCCTGCGCTACAACAGCCTCTCGGAGCTGCGCGCCGGCCAGTTCACGGGGTTAATGCAGCTCACGTGGCTCTATCTGGATCACAATCACATCTGCTCGGTGCAGGGGGACGCCTTTCAGAAACTGCGCCGAGTTAAGGAACTCACACTGAGTTCCAACCAGATCACCCAACTGGCCAACACCACCTTCCGGCCCATGCCCAACCTGCGCAGCGTGGACCTCTCGTACAACAAGCTGCAGGCGCTGGCGCCCGACCTCTTCCATGGGCTGCGGAAGCTCACCACGCTGCACATGCGGTCCAACGCTATCCAGTTCGTGCCGGTACGCATCTTCCAGGACTGCCGCAGCCTCAAGTTTCTTGACATCGGATACAATCAGCTCAAGAGTCTGGCGCGCAACTCTTTCGCCGGCTTGTTCAAGCTTACCGAGCTGCACCTGGAGCACAACGACTTGGTCAAGGTGAACTTCGCCCACTTCCCACGCCTCATCTCCCTGCACTCCCTCTGCCTGAAGAGGAACAAGGTGGCCATTGTGGTTAGCTCGCTGGACTGGGTTTGGAACCTGGAGAAAATGGACTTGTCTGGCAACGAGATCGAGTACATGGAGCCCCATGTGTTCGAGACCGTGCCGCACCTGCAGTCTCTGCAGCTGGACTCCAACCGCCTCACCTACATCGAGCCCCGGATCCTCAACTCCTGGAAATCGCTGACAAGCATCACCTTGGCCGGGAACCTATGGGACTGTGGGCGCAACGTGTGCGCCCTGGCCTCATGGCTCAGCAGCTTCCAGGGGCGCTACGATGGCAACTTGCAGTGCGCCAGCCCGGAGTACGCGCAGGGCGAGGACGTCCTAGACGCCGTGTACGCCTTCCACCTGTGCGAGGATGCCGAGCCCACCAGCGGCCACCTGCTCTCAGCCGTCACCAACCACAGTGACCTGGGGCTCCTGGCCAGCCCGGCCACCACACTCGCTGACGGAAGGGAGGGGCAGCTCGACGGCACGCACGAGCCGGCTACCGTGGGTCTCCCTGGCGGCGAGCATGCCGAGAACGCTGTGCAGATCCACAAAGTGGTCACAGGCACCATGGCCCTCATCTTCTCCTTCCTCATCGTGGTCCTGGTGCTCTATGTCTCCTGGAAGTGTTTCCCAGCCAGTCTCAGGCAGCTCAGACAGTGCTTTGTCACGCAGCGCAGGAAGCAAAAGCAGAAACAGACCATGCATCAGATGGCTGCCATGTCTGCCCAGGAATACTACGTTGATTACAAACCGAACCACATTGAGGGAGCCCTGGTGATCATCAACGAGTATGGATCCTGTACCTGCCACCAGCAGCCCGCAAGGGAATGCGAGGTGTGATTGTCCCAGTGGCTCTCAACCCGTGCGCTACCAAATACACCTGGGCAGCTGGGGCGGCCGGCCAGCGCCAGGCTGGGGTCTCCTTGTCTGTGCTCTGATATGCTCCTTGACTGAAACTGTAAGGGGATATCTCCCAGAGACTTGACATTTTAGCTTTATTGTGTCTTAAAAACAAAAACGAAATAAAACACAACAAAACCCCCACCCCACAACCTTCAGGACAGTCTATCTTAAATTTCATATGAGAACTCCTTCCTTCCTTTGAAGATCTGTCCATATTCAGGAATCTGAGAGTGTAAAAAGGTACCAATCATTGATTTTTTTTTTTTTTGTAAACTAAAATGTTTAAAATAAAATAGCATTTACAGTTTTTACAGACTGGTGTAACCTAAATGAATTGTTACCTGTGTTAAAAGAGAAGCAACAGTTAAAACGTCCTTCCCTGTGTGTGTGTGTATGGGGGGGGGGAGGGTGCATTGGCTAGAGGGAAAATCCAGAAATTCAGGAGCATAGTAGACTCAATTTGAAATATTAAGAAGAACAAATACAGCTCATGAGGTTGATTTATCCCCATATGACTAAAGACTGGAGGGGGGCGGAAAGCAAGGCCTTTCGTGTTATTTTTAGGGGAGTGCGGTGCAGTCACGATAACGCGAGTGAAAGTGGAACTGAGGACTGAGCATCACTGCCTAGCCTTGAAGGCAGGAATCATTACAAATAGCTTTTTAAAAGGCAGTGTCAGATTGTTTGTCCTATGAACAAGAAACATTTTTGCACTTAATATAACAACCATCTTTCAAATCAATTCAAAGTCTCACCCCCAAATGTCACTGGTTCATAATTCTCTTATGCCTCTGATTCACCAGAGTGGTAGCCTTTGTGCCCTTTTCTATACTCTCCCAAGTGAAAGACAGACCCTCAGCTCCTGTTCAGCAAGATCTGACTGAGGGGAGGAAGAGGAATAAGACAGAATCCAAATGCTGGCAGATGAAAGCTGTGCTTTCTGGAACACACTGTTAAGACTGCAGCAAGCTTAGGCTCTCAGTAGTGACAGCACACTCCTAGTTACTTTGGGGAACAGTGAGAAAAATCCTCTGGCTGAATGCCTACTGGGTAACTATCAGGAGACTTTAGGGGCAGACTTGGTAGAGAAGCAATAGGGGTCGGGTGGGATGGGGGAAGATCACCATTGACCCTGTGTTCAAATATTACAGAGATGGGAATAATTTGTTAGCCTGGAACAGAAAAGCTGCCTCTTTTCAGATTGCCCTTTTGTGTAATGCCTGCTTTCCCTGAGCTCTTTTACTTTTCTCTGTGTTGGGATCAATGACTGCTTCTTCCCACCCCTTCACAGGTTTCCAGGTCCATCATTGAGATTTAGGTTGCTTACTGAACTAAATTAAAGAGTAGTAGCAGTTGGTGGGTGAAGGGAAGGGAAAGAGGGAGGAGTACTGTGTGTTGGATGGGAGGGGTCTTTCACTCGCTAACACTTTAAGCAAATGTATGATGGAAATAAATGGAGATGGAGAGCAGATGCTGAAAACTGAACCAATACCCATGCCCAGAAATCTTTTTTCAAACTCAGGTGCTCACCTTTCTGAAAGATCCTATAACCTGCCATCTATCTATCTATCCATCCATCCTCCCTCCCTCCCTCTTTCTTTCTTTCTTTCTTTCTTTCTTTCTTTCTTTCTTTCTTTCTTTCTTCCTTCCTTCCTTCCTTCCTTCCTTCCTTTCTTTCTTTCTTTCTTTCTTTCTTTCTTTCTTTCTTTCTTTCTTTCTTTCGAGACGTTCAAATAGTAGGGAGAGGGAAGGGGAAAACACACACACATACCACCATCTCTCAAATGCAAATGCCTCTAGCCACCTACCTAAAGAGGAAAAATCAGCTGTCTGAAATGCAGAATCTCATCACCAGGAGGTTTGCTTAGGCTGAGGACTGGTAGTAGGTTTCTCTTCTACCTAGGGAGAAATCCATTTGCCTAATAATACTGCACATAAGGGGCCCTTTCGAGAGAAATACTTTGCAAATGTCTCTAAGATGCTAAACCTTGAGAGTAGAGTTTAACACCTCCCTCCCTCTCTCTCTAGCTCGCTCGTGCTCTCTCTCTCTCTCCCCCTCTCTCTCTCTCACACACACAGGCATGCACATGCACCCCAGCTCATTTTTCCTGACCAGAAGACTTCATCTTCTTTGTTTCTAATTAAAACATGACATTATGACAGACACCGTGCTCTTATCATGTATTTAGGCGAGAAGAGAGGTGCTTTATTTGATAATTTTGAGGAGAAGGTTTTGGATTCAGCCTATGCATGATAATTCAGGGCTGCTGTTTTAAATAGCATACCACTCAGGGGGCAGGAGCAGTAGGAACAAGGTCTGCTTAGGGGTGTGCCATTTGTAATTAAACTCGAGTAAAGGGTCTCTAGAAGACAACATGCCCTTTTTGGAAAGAAAAAAAAAATTCAGAAACTGTGCAATTGAAAGAAAGTTCCTTGGATACCACTGATTTAATCTCATAGGAAGTTTACTGGAATCAAGTGCCAAAGGCTACTTCTACCCTGGTGCATTAAGGACTGTGTGCTGGTGTGCTTATAGGGAAAGCTTCCAGAAGCAAATCCTTTCTGGCAAACATCAGAACCACAGGTCCCCCTACCCCCAGAAATACAGATATTTGAGACTGTAGAGTTTATCTCCTATACCCAAGACCTTTTTTCCTTTCATTCTTCTTTTTTCAATGTGGTCACGAGAAAAAGCCAGAGAATAATTGTGCTTTGTCTTATGATGCTGGCCACCCCCCGCCCCAACTCAAACCAAATGACTAAGTATCACATATGTAGAACTTAAGTGCACGTACATCTAATGAAAGATCATTGTAAAGAGGAATCTGCAATCTGGTAACTGGAGAGCAAATGCCAGCCATAGAAAATTATGTTCTTAATTTGTGTGTCTGTGTAACTTTGCATCGTGTGTCTTTGTAGCAAATATGTTTTCTACACAAACAGGAATGTAGCTCACATCGTTTTATGCTCATGCACCTCTTGCTTTGGAGAAAGATGGGGTGGGGAAAGAGAAGGGTAATGGAAATCAGTAGTTTTAACTAAGGTTTTGTGGCACTTGAAATCTTTTCTTTCACAAATTAATTATTCTTTAAGCTTCAAGAAACTTGTTCTGACCCCTCTAAGCCAAGTACTGAACATTTAAAAGAGAATCTAATTTTTAAAGGCATAGTATCCTTTTTATGTGTTCTTCCCACAGAGGGTGCTAATATCATTATCCTGTGCTATCTGAAAAGAATTTAAGGCCACAATTCACGTCTCTTCCTGGGCACTGTGATGGATTAACCCCCCATTTGCAGTACCTTCCCAGATGATTAAAGTTCAGCCATGGCATAGAGGTTTTTCGAATATTTATATAGGAAAAAAAAAGTCCTTTCTGATGACAAATAACACTTTCACACCAGTCTTAGACCCAGTAGTCTTTTAGGTCGTGCCAGAGGGAGAAGATTAAAGAATGCTTTGGCCTTCCTTTAGAGAAAAGACAACCCCTGATACTCAGACTTCGGCCATGATGGTTGAAAAGTCCAGTCCTAAGCCCAGTCCCAAGCACAACCCATGCTCCCAAGACTGTAAGTTGCCATCAGAAAAAAAGAGTATTCCAGCAAAAGGAAACATTCTTTAAAATCCATTTTTTATATTCTCCCAAGCTCCTCAAAGTATCAGTGTGCCTTACCTTTCCTCCCTGCCTGCAGGAAGGCAGACATTTGGTATGACTTAGCATCAACAACACATTTCTGAGTATGTGTAAGTAATTAGAGGGGCAAACGCCACATGGTGCTCCTCTCCAGTTTCATGAGCAACTATAGCCAGATCACAGGAGGGCTCAGGGGCCACCTGTGTTTTTGGGTTACATTAATCGACTCGTCATCAGGTTTGGTGCCTATTCTATCTGGCATCACCACAGAGAAGGGGACACTGGTGGGTCACATATTCTAGTAAAATAAAAGGCACTGGATGCCTCTCTCAGAGAGATTATCAAAAGGCCAGAATGTATATCTTTTTTGGAGAATGGGTATTATAATGTTGCAGGGTAGTCAAAATAAGCATCAATTATCTCCTCTAGATAAGCAGTTATGTTGGTTGATTTGGGTTTTGTCACTGATGGAATAACAAGTAATGAGGAATTAGCAGGAATATGACTGTTAAACAGTCATGTTTTAGGAGAAGTTTATATTTTAATTTTTATTAATTAATCTTTATATATATTTAGGAGAAGTTTAGGGACATGCACACACATTTTACATACACAACACAGATATAACCATACACATATGCACATATAGCCATATTCCTATAACCACATATATAGCCACACACACGGTTACATTACATAAGTACTTTCCAGCATTAATTACCCTCCTACTTTCTTCCTCCATGATCAAACTATTAGTCAGGAAAGGACCTGATAAAATCAATCACAATTAAAATGTAAAGGTGGATGATGGTATTGTCAGGGATCAGGCAATGAGTTGGTAGATGCTTTGCAAGTGGGGGACCTTTTGAGCTCCTCATGCTATAGGAGAGTATAAGCCTGCTACCTACTGGTAAGTGCCAGCAAATGTCAATGCATTCTTTTGAGAGTACCTTCCTAACTAATAAGTTCCATCTCAAGGTTAAGAAACCTATTTCTCCATTAAAAATATTCTACTCTTATTTTTCCCCCAGGGATCCAAGTGGCAAAATTCTTTTTTTTTTTTTTTAAAGATTCTATTTTTTTATTTGACACAGAGAGAGATCACAAGTAGGCAGAGAGGCAGGCAGAGAGAGAGGGGGAAGCAGGCTCCCTGCTCAGCAGAGAGCCCAATGTGGGGCTCGATCCCAGAACCCTGGGACCATGACCTGAGCTGAAGGCAGAGGTTTAACAGTCTGAGCCACCCAGGGACCCCCAAGTGGCAAAATTCTTAACTTGTGACTGGGCACCATTTTCTGGCCTTCCTCAGTAGACCCAGTTTCTGAAGGTCTCTGGTTTTTTGCTCACAAGCCTAGGACCTGGCCACTATATCCTTAAGGTTTAGTCGGAGATGTAAAACAAGGAATAAAATTTACGGGGCATGGGAGCCTTTGGCTAGGTCTTGATATGTGAGAGATACACAAGGAAACTGAGGCATGGAGATGTTCAGTTTTTTGTGTGAAGTCACCCAGCTCATAACGGGGAGCACTAGTATTCAGGTCCAGTGGCCTTTTTCTATACCCTATCCCTTGTTTCCTTGAACAGTTGCTCCCTCCACCCCTCCATCCAGCAGAGCCTAGCACTAGCCGGGGCACAGGG